CTCAGTTCAAATACTCTTTCTGCTTCTATATGTATTGCAATGTCATAAAGCCAGGAGGAGGGTTCCAGCTTTCTTCTACCTATATTATCTTAATATCTGCCTTTGACTCTCTCCTCTCTGAGTTTGAGTCTGGGTATCTGGGAATTGGGGTCCTTCTTTCTAAGCTCTCCTGAAAAACATCAGTACTCTTGCCAATATCCTCTGTAAATTTGGCTGCCAGTCCTCTGAAAGGGATATAAGAGAAAAAACTACGATGTACAAAGAGTGCACTTAGTCTTTCTGCATCCTCTTGTGAAAATGAAATACACTACTTGGGGGTGGAAATGGTCCTTGTTTCGAATTTGAAGCCATGGTCTGTTTTCCTAGTATGTAGACATATGCTGCTACTCTTGACAGTACTATATGAAAAATCTCCTGTTTTTATAAAGCACACCTAGTGGCAGTAAATAGCTTCTAGTATCAAAGGGTAAGATATTGTGTGACAAGCCATGCATATTTTGCCAATAATAGAATGTATTTCCAGGTTTAAAAACATACACACATATACAAGTATGTGCATACATACATGCACATTATATACGTATAGATAACATTTTTTATTTTGAAAATAAATTTTAAATGTTTGGGGAAAATATCAAAAAAAGATATTTTGTGACACCTTCTAGGTAAGCATATCTCTAGTTGTTACTCATTGTTCTTTATTTTATTTACCAGGTGCCTTTTATTCAATTATGACAAACAATATCCTTTCAATAGTTCTCTGAGGGTTCTTCACTTGCTGTAGAATAAGTAGTAAGAACCAGATAGTCCTGGTGTATGTTCTGGGAAAAGAGACATCCAGCTTTCCTGGCAGAAATCGCCCAGACTTTCCTGCTGGTCTCCCCTCTTTGGGAGCGGTGAAGAGCAATGTCCAGTCACTGCTGAGAACCCAGCTGCTACTCTCCAGACAGCAGAGCGAGGAAAGCCACTGAGGGCTCCCTAACCCCCCCCACGGGGCAGAATGTTCCTCCCAGGTGGGGAAGGCTTCCCTCTCTTCCTGAGTGTGAATTCCTTTTACACCAAGGCATGGTGCATAGCAAAGAAAAGAAAGAAGAAAAGCGGAAGTCATTATGAAAGGCACCCCGGTGCTAGGCAGTCTGGACGTATTTCCATTATGCCTCCCAGTGCTGGGAGCATGGAAGAGGGAAGAAAAGTCAAACAGTTTAAGTTGTAGGTTTTATAAATCCCTTCCCCTCTTCCTCACCAGCCACACGCAGGGTAAGTATGTTTCGTTCCTTCTGGGAGCATGGAAGAGGGAAGAAAAGTCAAACAGTTTAAGTTGTAGGTTTTATAAATCCCTCCCCCTCTTCCTCACCAGCCACACGCAGGGTAAGTATGTTTCGTTCCTCAGGGGCCTAACTCTGTACAGGTCTCCGCAGGGCAGCTAAGTGTCTTCTCCTGCAAGATGAACAGAACCTAGGTAGGCAGGAGAGAGATTTCAGGTCCCTCACGCTTGCTGAAAGGTCAGAGCTGAGAGCCTAAAATCGCCTTTTCCTCTTGGCCCGAAATAAGTTGTTCACCTGACTGAGGAACACACTGACTTCAGAGGCAATTCTCTGAGCACACACGGGGTAGTGTGGATGGCAGTTTTGAAGTCAGTAATCGGTTTACATTTAGGGGTTTCCTTGAAGATTTACTATTCATTCTTGCTGATTGCAAAAGAGAGAAATATGTATTTCTTTTCCTATAAATGATTTAACATGCACTATGTACGCCACCTGGGATAGAAAAGTATACACCAAGCTACAAATGATTTTTTTAAACACTAAGTATTTCCATTCATTTCAAGATATTTGTTGCACACCTGTTATATACCATAAACCAGATCAGGTGCTATCAGGACACAAATAAGAACAGGATTTAATCCTCATTCCAAAGGAGTTTTTAGTGTCTGGAAGGCATATCCATCATCCGTTGCCACAGTAATGCTGTGCAACAAATCACCCCCAAACTCAGTGGCATAAATGTGTTGGTTATTCTAGCTCTTTCATCTGTGATTCATCTGAGTGTTGGTTGAACAAAGCTGGGCTTGGCTGAGCGTGACTCTAAGCTTCAGGTCGGGGCCAATTCTGTCTGCTCCATGGGTCTTTCATCGTCCTAACAGCAGGGGGCTAGCCAGGTATGTTCTTCTTGTGGCAATGGTAGAGATGAAGAGGTCAAGTCCAACTGCACAAATAGTTTTCCTCTAACATTCACTGGCCAGCAAGTCACATGACCAAGCCCAGCATCACTAGAG